TCTCCTTACTAAACTAGAATCTTAAATTAAATATTATAAAACTTTAATTTTTTTTACAAATTTATCAGTTGTAATATATATCTCATTTCTTAGATTGACGTAACATCCTTACAATTAGAAATACAATGCAAAATGAAATGATAATAAATAAAAAAAAATTAGAAAAAGAATTACAAAATTTTGCATGTTTTTATTATCGTTAATGGACCTTGACCAATTCGTTCTCCATTTCATTCGATTTAACTTTCTTTTCAATTGCTATTGTAGAATAAAATATATATATATATGTGCTCTGAGTTAATCTTTCCACGCATAAATGGATGTGTTCGTTTAAAATTTCGAATGAGTCCTTGGAAGAAATGCGGAAACGGCCAATGACGCGTGAAAGGAAAATCAATCGAGTAATCGGATTTCGATGTAATATATTTAAAAAAAAAAATAAATAAATAAAATGAAAAGTAAAAACAGAAATTAAAAAAAAATATAACAAGGATTTTACGACGATGATGATGATGATGATTATTATTATTATTATTATTATTATTATTATTATCAGATTCTGATCGATTTTTTCTTTCTCCTATATTAATTAATTCATTTCTTTATATCTTTCTTCTTTTTATTCTTTTTTTTCTTTTCAATTGCATAATACGCTCGTATTTATTCAAATTATATTCGATACAAAATTTCTATAGTAACCTTCGAAGGTATGCGAAAACGTATTAAAATCTAAATTTTTTTTTAATGTAAACAAAATCAATATCTAATAATATGTAAGAAAACAAAAATCAAAGATTAGTATTAGATAAATTGTTATAATTATAAACCGAGCAAACCTTCGTTTACAAATATTGTCTTTGTAATTAATATCAAACGTTTTTATCTCTTTCCTTCTTTCCCTTTTTTTTTTCCCTACAACAAAACGCAATAGTGTGCATTTAAATCGATGAACTCAATTAGACTTCTCTCATTGATTTTAATTTCGATTCGAAGGAGAGTCCTTCGAAGAAATGCGGAAACGTAATGATACGTGAAAGCTGGAATGAAAGAAGCAACATCGCCAAATATGCCAGCACCAGCTCGATTATACAACGAGTCCTTGGCGTTGAATAATGCACCACGAGTGAGAAAAAAAAATTTATGTCTCTCTGCATGCATGCGTGAGTGAGTAAGTGCGTACGTGCATGAGAATGTAATAGTAGCTAAGATGGAGAGTATACGAAGAAAAATGGAAAAAAAGGAAAAGAAAGAAATAGAAGAAAGAAACGAAAAAGGTGATAGACAGAGAAATGAGAAGGGGGTAGAGGGAGGATTGGGAGGGGTGGAGAGGAAAGAGGACCGAATGCAATTAAACGCAACGTATGCTCCCGCTACGCATCGTATCATCCTCAGAGTATCTCAGAGGAGTGAAAGTCGGCGAATAACGGGCCGTCGACATGCCTGACTCTGAGTATCGTGATTACTTCCAAACGATTTTATATATATACATATATACGTGTATATATATATACGTTTTCACACGCATGAATCGTAAAATCGTATTCAACTGATAATTATTATCAACGATTAAGATATACGATAAGTATCTTTTAAAAAATATGAATGTGAATTTTAATGAAATACTAACGTTAGTTTTTCTACGAATTTTTCTATATTTTATTGAAAAAGATAAAAATTTTATCTTTATATAAGAATATATAAGAATAATTAAAAATAAATTATATAAATTATTTTATATAATTAATAAATTCTATTTATATAATTAATAAATTATAGTAATTATATATATATATATATAATAATTAATACTATTAACTAACTATTTATATAATATAAACATACATAAACATTTTCTATAAGTATAGATGAAATATAGATTATGTCCATAGATTTATCTTTTTTTCTAATATAAGATTATATAGTATTACAGTTATAATCCACATTTCTCGTTTTAATCTATCGATTTACGTATATGTAAGTGTATCAATGTATATATGTAAATACACATGATACATAGAAATGAAATATGGACTCTAGTTTTAGGATTATCCTCTGTTTCAAAGACTGGATTATCGTCATCGTTTAAAAAAAAAGAAAAAAAGAATTTTTCTCCTCTCTCTCTCTCTCTTTCTCTCTTTCTGAACAGTTCGAAAAGATGCCACCTGCTTTGGGTTCATTGAACTTTCATTTAAATACACGCGAAGACTCATCCACGCCCAATTCTTCAGGACTCTCGTCGTATAAATCCGATTATAAAATTACTTTCTCTCTGAATGCGGCTAACGCAAGGGAGATCAGAGCTTTGAGCGAAAAAAAACAAGAAAAAACATTACACGTACGATGATGCATGAACTCCCTAAAAAATTCGGTACGTTAATTTGAAAATTAAAACGTGATTGGTCGTTTATTAAAATACGACTTGTCCTTGTTCTGAATCTAACGGGCTTCAAAGTCAACGGTACCTGCAATTCAGAGTTTCAATGTGAACGAAACCTGTTTTAAAGGAAGATGAGAAAATCGATTATACGGTTATCTTTCTATGTATATACACACTCATACATAGATATCGGTTAAGCGTGTAAACACGTGGCTTACTAAGATCGCTTTTTTAACAGGTTGATCTTTAACCTATTGCTTCTTGTTTTTAAACGTAAGTGGATACCTCTCAAAATAAATAGTATATAAACTTATTACAAACAATCTCCAATGTTCTTTTAATAAACTAAAATAAAATAAAACAAATAATTATAAATAACAATAGCATAGATTGATTTTTAATTTGTTCTAATCAAAATCCATATTTTATATTTTATCTCAATAATAATTAAAAATAATTTTAATTCGATGAAAACAATAAAATAATGTAATGTAATACTATTGAAGATAATAATTAAAGAATAAAATATATGTATATATAATTAATCGAGTTTTGAACAAAACAAAAAAAATATGAATGAAAACGAGTGAAATTCGACAAAAAAATAATTTCCAAGTCATCTCTCTCCCCTTCCTCTCCTCCATCTTTTATTCATATTATTCATATATTTATGATTCATGTTAAATCTTGATAGATCTTAATGAATTCAGTTTCGTATTTTATTCATATACATAAAGAGAAAGAGAGGATGTGGATTATGATTTGTCTACGAAAGCGAGATGAATTTCGTTTTATTCGCGTTTACTCGCGTGATGTTGAACTTGATATCAATTTTCTCGGTAGAACGATTTTATAATAAATGTGGTAATTAAAAAAAGTCGATGTTGGTTAGAAAAGCACGCGTGCGTTCCACATGACAAGTGGGCCATCGAAACTTGCGAAAATAAACTGCAACCTACTACTACTACTATTACTACTACTACTCGCGTGATTTACCCATGAAATTCACGGCCAATTCCAATGATAAACGAGTTCATTACCACCATCTCGTACGGATTATATATACATAAAACTAAATTATATAGACTCGGATTCCTAATGGAGGATATCCTAATGTTTATTTTCTTTTATTTTCTCTATTTTACAAAAAGTGTATATAACGTTAAACCCCGTTACAATGAAAGCCAATAAATGTGTTAGTGTGTCAAATTATCGATGAGAGAAAACGAGAAGTATCTTTGTGAAAATAATAATAATAATAATACAAATTATTTTATCCATTATTGATGTATTGTTAAGATCGTTATTATAGTAAATAATTTCAAAGAAAATTTCAAGTAATATGTAATTTCAAAAAAAAAAAAAATTTGTTATCATAACGTCACTATTCTTGAATTAAAAATCACAAAGAATTAAATGACACACGAATCTTCATCACCACCATTATCAACGTGTTCTTCTGATCCGAAAATCTTAAATAATTTATATTATATAAAAAAAAAGAAATGAATTTATGATAATCGTGGAAAAAAAAGCAATGTTCTTCCTTCGTTATTTGAATGATACTTTCATCCTTTCTTTTTTCTTTTTCATTTTCTTTGAAATAATGAAAGTATTTGCTTGCATAAATATTTACAACCACTGACGACAACAACGACGATCGAAAAGAAAAGAAAAGAATAGAAAAGAAAAGAAAATATAGTTATATAGACTCCTTTCGCGATAAACGATTATATTTACAGGATGCTACTACGTTTTCACTTTACGTAGCGGAACCGTCGATACGCGAAGAAGACAAATCGGCCACAAGCCGGTTAAAAAAGGAAAAAAAGAATCGTCGACGATCTCTGATTAAAAGGGCATGAGAAAAACTCGCACGTATACATATATATACATATATATACATACATACATAAAGTTTATACTCTCGGGAAACTCAGAAGAAGAAAGTTGCTACTGAGAAATGCCTAATATTTTCCTACTTTTGCTTCTCACTGTTATTAAAATAAAAAGAAGAAGAAAAAAATAAACAAAAACGAAAGAAAAGAAACATTATAAATGACGCTTGATATGATCACCTATGAGACCGAAATATATTTATTTTATTGTGTCACACATCTAAAGAGATATTTAAAAATTACTCGAATATTTGTGCATACTTTATATCGATATATTTATCGATATTAGGGGGATGAAAAAAAAAAGAAATTTTTTATCGAAATCATATAAGAATAACGTTCCATTTTTTTTTCTTTGGTATTTTTTTGTGTGTAGAGGAAGGGGTGGGTGAGGGTAAGTTTCTATTTAAAAATAAACACATTTTATCTTGTAATTTTCGACATAATGATTAACACTAATTCGTGTAAAATTCCACTTGATGTATATGGCCCATAATCGAAACTAATTTCACTGTCACTTATGATCACAAAGTGTGTTAAATTCAACGAAATTCAAAGATGGAGGAAAATAAAAGGAAAAGTTAATTAAAAGTGTTATACGTATATAGAGAAATTAATAATAATAATAATAATAATAATAATAATAATAATAATAAAGAAAAAAAGAGAGAGAGAAAAAAGAAAAAAAAGAGAAAAGAGGATATGTGAATTAGTATTGTACTCACCAAGCGCATGATGCTGTCTGTGCCTATGCTCGTCCAGTTCTCAGCTTTTACTCCGGAGATGATCTCCACGCAGGTAGCGCACGATAGTTTCATGAAAGAAGTGGGGTCCATGTATTATACCATTATACACAAATACACATCTACAAGAATATATATATGTATACTTTTACAAGAAGAATCAACGAAGATAGCTTCTTTCGTTCGATCTTCGAGCATTTTCGGTCACTCGTGTTCTCTTGACCTATTTTTACTAATTAATAATTTATCTTATTATTTTCCATCTCTATTTATCTATCTATCTATCTATCTATATCTTTTTTCTTCTTCTTTTTATATTTTTTGTTTATAAAAAAAAAAAAAAAGAATCAATGTCCATACTCTATATTTTTTACTCTATAAATTGTGGGTGGTGCTAAAGGTAAAGAATGGGCAGGGCAAACGAACCCCTTCCTCTTATATCCCCCCCTGAAGAACTTCTCACGAATGGACTATATATTTATCTTTTAACTAAATTATCGTACATCTTTCTTTTTCTTTTTTATATTTATTAGTACGATAGATGTCGATTTTTTGTTTTCGTTTTATTTGTATCCATGATTTCATTAATATTTCGATTATTTTCGACTATTATTGTCTTCTTTATTGTCGTTTATATTAGGTGGACCGGAAAGTAATGTCACTTTCTAACCTTAAATTCAAAAGAATAAATTTCTAACAAATTGATATTTTTAATCAATAACATAATCAACTTTGTTATCAACAACCTTTCTTCATCTAGTATGCAAATTTTTAATATCAAATTGATAAAAATCAATCGGTTTTTGATAAAAATATACAAAATTTGACATTTGTAGAAACGATATTACGTTCCGGTCCACCTAATATATCGAATTTATATCTTTTAAATTAATATTATTAATTTCAAGAAATAAAACGCTGTTGAGAAAATTCTTCTATAAAATTGAATTTGTCATTTAACAAGGAAGAAAATTGTTTAAAGATATTTGTTATACCTCTTTTTTTATCTCTCGATTCGAATGAAAATGGGATTACATTATTTAATAAATAAATATTGATTCAATTGTAAAAAAAAAAAGAATAACAGATAATATTACACAAGTTCAAAAAACAGGTATATCTCGTTTTATAGATTTTTAAATGGCGCCGAAAACAAATCTGACTTGCGCTCTCTGGCGATCGAATTTCTATTTTCTTTGAGGAGAAAATGTAGTGACATCTGTGGTTAATTTCTTGACAGATAAGACGTACACAGTGAATGGAATTGCGTAAACTGCAAAAGCGCGAAACCATATGAGTGGTCTAATTATCAAAAAGTGAAAGGAGCATTGAATACATTTAATAATACATTCTTAGACAAATTGATTTTATTTTATGATGAAGGGAATTTTAATATTTGACAATCTCAATGACGTGTTATTTACTAAATGTGATAAGAAATTTGCATTTCATATACAAAAATTAGCTAGGGCACAAGGATTAATAACTGAGAATAAGGTAATCCTTTTAATATTAAAATGTTTCAATATTTTATTTTATATTATATCTGTCGTTTTCTTATCTTATTGTGTTATGGTATAATTATATCAATATTTGAATGTGTCAATAATAAAAATAAATAATTTCAATGTCCAGAATGCAGACGACATGGATCCAAGACCGTGTCCAAATATCATTATGCAACTTTTTTCACCTATCGTTACTTCGCAATACGCCATGGCTTCTCAATTTGGTAATTCTTATACGTCTATGAAATGCCAAGATGGTACAAATATGGTATTCGATGAATACATGGGATATACATTTATTTATGTTGGCGTAGAAGACATTGAATTAATGAAAAGAACTTTAGGTGTATGTGTTTCAATAGTTCGACATGTCTGTGGACCTGATGTTACCATGTAAGAATGTGTTTGATGTAAGATCATTTCTTTTTAATATTCTTTACATTTTAATTTTTATCATCTTTATTTTTAGATTAAAGTCAAGTAGACAAAAGGTCTGTTTGGTGTCATCTTTATTAGATGCATGGATAGAATTACGTGGCTCTGAACAAAGTATATTAACAGAAGCTGTAGAACAGTTATCTGTTAATGCAGATTTAGCATCGGTTATTTTAAAAGTTCTTAACGATGCTTGTGATAAATTAAAAACACAGTCAGAATTTTCAAATATACATGTTCTGTTACTCGTAAAACAAAAATTTTTATCACTATACTCTAGTAAAAATGCGCACGACTTGTGCGCATCTGATATTTTATTAATGATTTTATTGTGTTGGGTTATTAATCATAAAAAACAAACTGATAATGAAATTGATCAAAGTGGAGAGGATGACGGTGATATTCTATTACCACATAATAGTTCTTCCAGAGAAGAAGAATCAATACCATTTGGTGCTAAGCTATCAAATCCGACTTTAGAAGATATTACTAATTTATTTAGTAAGATATCAATATATTAATAGTTTATAAAAAGAATATTATTATTTATTAATATTTATTACCTATTATTTGTTTATACTGTATTGCAGGAGGATCAAGAGAATCTTCTCTAAGCGAAGATCTTTATTCTTTAGCACATGATGGTTTATACAGTCAAATAATTCTTCTTGGATCTGAACACGATTATACTGCAAATGCTGTCCACGTCTTTGAAATAGATGATGGTATTTATCTTGTAACTATAATAGAAGTTACCAATCTTGCCACATCGTCCGGATTATATGACACATTCCATTATTTAAATATTATAAATGGTCTACAACTTCAAAGAGACCTCGATGAATTAAGACCGGCATTTGATAATCTTGACATGTCCATAAAAAAAAGTTTAGATGGAATTAAGAAAAATCGAGCCAATGTTAATAACGATGTTGATATGTGCCAAAGAAGATTGCAAGTTAAATGGGAATTTGTGAAAAAGAAATATATGGAACTTTTAAAATCTAGAGATCCAGAATCTATTCTTCAAATTGAATCCAATACATCTGGCTTTACGGATACTATTAAAGAATTATTTCGCTTAACATGTTTCGATAGAAATTTTTTAAAACAAGGTATTGATGTACTGACAACGGTAGGCCGTTTAGTGCGACAAAAACTAAACGATTTCAGTGATTTTCTTAAAGTAAAGGCATTGAAGAACTTCACTCTTGGATCATATCCTTTCTTAAAATGTTATTTCTTGTTTCTTTATGCTTTCTTATTATATCAATTTTAATATTTTTTTTTTATATATGTATTAATATTAGAAAGAAGTATGCAAAGTTTGTAATATAGGTCCTTAATGCCATATAATCTACGAGAACTTCCCTAACCATCAACAAATATTTAGAAGAATTTCCAGGCTTGGTGCATTTCATTTACATTGACAGAACAACCCACAGGTTAACAGCACCAACACTAGATTTCACCAATTCTGAAACTCTTGCTCTTACTACGAAAAAGGTATCAATTAGATTATAAAAGCCATCAAATTTCTTAATTAATATTAATACTGATTTACCTATACAGATTTGGAATATGGTGAAGCAAAGTAGAATGCATTTGCAAGAAGGACATTTATCAGTTATGTGGAAAGATACGACATTTAATTACGCTTATTTTTTATGGTTCGAAGACAATTCGGTATGTATTACAAAAAATTGTACATATTTATAAATATATAAAATAAAATTATTAACAAAATTGTATTTACCATTTAGGGATCTCCACTTAAATCAAAAGTTTATTTGAATCATTTGATGAAAAATTTTCCAGTACCTGGTATACTTTGCGAGGACTACTACAGGTATTTTAATTATAAGTTACACATATGTCTTATGTATTACAGTTTTATTTTTTGTCATTTTTTTCAATTATTATATATATATATTTCTTTTTTATTAATATAAATAATAAATAATTTAAAATACGATTCTCTGTAGGAAATTGGCTGAAGCGTGTTTTCCTAAACTTTCACCAAATAAAATTAGGATCTATGAATTATACTGTGTACATTTAGGATTAGCTACTTCGTCTTGTGTTTTGGAACACTCCAGAAGACTTGCAGCTACTATATGGGAAGTTACAGGTATACCAAACAATCCTGCTGATATTCTGTAATAATTTGCCATAAATCTTTTGATATATATATATATATATATTGGAACAGTTATTTATGTCTATGCAGTGAAAGTGTAAAATAAAAAAAAAAAGAAACAGTGAGAAGATTTTGAACTACTTATCTATAGAGGTGTTCAAAATTATGTATTAACTCAGTATTTATAAAATGCAATATTCAAAAATACATATTTATTTTATACCTTTATTAATTTAAAGTAATATGTCATACACAGAGAGGAAAGTATTAGTATAAAAACTTTTCAATATTCTTTCCAAGTTTTACTTAAGCATAATAAAGGTCATAAAAACACAGCTTCAGTTTACGATTCCTTACACATTACTCAACGTAACGTAACAGAGAAAATAATTACATATTACAAACACTTAACAATATGTAGATCCATTGGAAATAATAAAAAAGATATTTATAATTATTTGAAAAAGAATAGATATTACAAACATTTATAACATTTTCTAACAAAATTGTAATATCACTATCCGATCAATAAGTAAGCCATAAATATATATTATTTTATTCAAGTTTCAAAATTGTTATATTTTAGCGTAAGAAATATTTACAATGCATCTTGTAGAGCATAAAGTAGTTCTAAGAATATGGTCATACTTTATTTGCGTAAAACGCTTTGGAACAATTTTAAGTTTTTTCATAGAGAGCTTTCAAAGAGAAAGCTAAGGATTATCCAATCCCTAGAATGTTTTAAATTCTATAATACTATATTTAGTTCAATGAGTATCTGATGCATCTGAAAAATTGCGTACATCTATATTTCTTTTCAAAGTTTCCTCGTAAACAGGAGAATGCTGGTTTTCAACAATATTTTTTATCGAAGACTTTTCAAAGGATTCTGCTATTTTTCTTTCACTGTTATGTCTCAATGCTGACCCCCGTTTAATTTTTCCATAATTTGGAGTACCTCTACCGACACCACTTTCAATTTGTTCACCCATATTTATCGGTTGTCTTGAGATCTCAGAAATCATATTGATTGAACATTGGTTTTTTTTCCCAATCATATCTAACTTAGCATCTGAAACTATGTTCGTAGTAAATTTATCACGAGTTTTACTGTTCTCTACATCTGCATTTAATCCTATCTTCAGCTTTTCCTTGGAGATACTTTCTGCAAGAACAGTTCTTGTACTACTTGGTCGGTTGTCACTTGATTCATCCTAAGTAAAAGGCAAAATAAGAAATCATAAGACTAAACTCATGAAAGTAAAAGATAACGATGACGATAACATACTGTTAAAGATTGGTACTTGTTTAGTTGATCCTCTTCATAAATTTTATCAGGAACATCTACTTTTCCTGCCAATAAATTGTTCTCTTCGTAACCACTGTTTTTATCAATTTCATGATTCAACTCGGTCGTGTCTGTATTACAAGTAACTTGTGTCTGAGCTAAATTCTGCAGACGTATTTTAGTTCTCAATTCTGTTATTTGCTTTTCCAATTCATAAACTTCACGATCAGATTCACAAACTTTCGAAATTAACGTACTTAAGTATTTTTCAGCTTCTTTTTCTATAAGAGTTGCAGATTCAACGCTAGATGTTTGTGTAAGATTTAATCTATAAAAAAGGGCAAATGTTAAATTCATTTAAATTACAATTATGTTATTTCTTTGTTACATAAATGCATCACTTACTTGAGCGATTGTATTATTTTCGTAAATGTATCAACCTCTTTTACGGATCTTGTCTTCGGTGTAAGTTTATAATCAGAACCATCAAGCGGAGATCTACCATCCCCTAAACTACTTATCTTCAAGGATATCGGTTCAAATGTCCTACAAGATGATCTCTATTACTATTAAGATAGAACTAAAAATAAAATATATACGCACCCTCTTCTACGTCTCAAGAGAACGTGTCTAAATTTATGAGTTCCATTTGCATTCGACACGGAAGAGGACAATAGACAGGTAACGAAGAAATCCTCTTTATAACCGTGACTACTAGAGAAGTACGAAGCAAACTGTTTGTGCAAAAGTTTATCCCTTAAAGTAGGTACCAAGGATAAGTTGTGTCTAAATCTAAACCATCCGATAACTTGTTTGCTTTTATGAGACAAGAAATCTTTCAACTTCTCTTTATCAATTCTACAGCTTGAATCATGCAAAATATCTGGCATAGAGCATGTCACAACAGTTTCAATATCTAAAAATATATATAGAAATGTATATCCTTTGCAACTATTATAGCAATGCATACTACAAGATGTCACAGACGTATGAAACTCCAATTAATACAAACATACATAACTTGTCAAATACTTTTGTGAAAAGTTATGTATTATGATAAATACTTATTTCAAATTGTACAATCTTATTAATTATAAGCTCGAAAAACTTTTCTCTTTTTGTATCATCGGTGACATATCCAAAGAAAGATTTTTAACAGTCAATACTTACTGATACGTCTTTTAACTGTATCCACTTGATTGTCAGAATCCGTGACCTTTTTAACAATGTATTCGACTATTTCACCGAGTAAAAAGCCCATCTGTAGGCAATTCGATAGATATGTTATTGTATATTAAATACTATGTTGCAATAGAAAAAGGTTAGGTGCACTCTAAGTTAATACATTATGATTGAAATAATGAACAACAATAAATACCGTTACAAGAATGATAACATAAATACGCGAAAAAATTTGTGTAAAATAGCTTACCTGATCTCCAACGTTGCGTACATTTTCGTAAAGTAATAAAGAAAGTGCAGCGCCCGAAATAGTAACGAGTAAACCGTCGTCCGCCATATTGATGAATGAAGAATATTAAATTACAATTGCGTGTACTAGACACTTCGATTTTTTATCATTACCCACATTCACAAATTTTATCTTCTTTAAACTAATACTTGCGATACTCTTTTAATTATTAATAACAAAAGTAATATTTCCAATAAAATTTCTATCGATTAACATGTATTTAGATAAGCCGATAAAAAAATATTTATTAATTCAACAAAAAATAGAAAAACGAAGCACGTGTTTAGAAAAATTTAATTATATGTTTATATCTTTAGATTTTCATAAAAATAATAATTGTTAATTACTTTTAAAACACTGTTATTTCTAATGATGCAGGATATCTGAACGGCGATTGTCGATTAATTGAAGAAAATGAAATCTCATTGCCTATATTTTAATCGATGTTCTTTTGTCATCTCCGTCGCGCCATTTTTGAATACACAAATTACCGATCTGGAAACGATCAAAATATACGAATGTATCTCTCTACTGATAAGAGATAAATCAGTATCAATTTATCAACAAATTTCTTTAAAATTATGAAGTCAAAAATCATAGACATATACAAATTGATCATAAAATTTAGTATAAAGAAAAAAGAAGAAGAGAGAAAAAAATCGGATATCGATGATTAAAGAATTTTGTTCAGTCGGTAAAACAGATCTCGACAAAGTAAACAAAACGATATTTTGCATTATTAAACATATTCATTGCAAACAATTGAGATGAATTATTATATTTAAAAGAAATAGAATATTATTAAAAGAAAAATAGGAAGAACATAAGGCTGAGGATACTTTTCAAATATCATAATTAATATAAGTAAGAAGGAGGTATCAAAAAGATGCAGGAGATCAGAACTTGAAGAGAATTCGTTTGGTCATGATCGCCCAAAATAATTTTCTGCACCAACACAGAAGTCGTTGTATTTCTAGCCGCGAAAAAAGAGATAGACGGATGTAGGACTGCTTGTGATGTAAGCTTTTAGTGATCACTAAAGAGGCGCAAAGATCGACTCTCGTTAATCAACCAACGATCGTTACGCACTTGGAATACTCTCCCCTAAAAAAATAGATTGATTGCAAGTATTTCACTCTTCTTCCTTTTGTACGTGTGTCGAGAACATCAGATTGTACGACGATTTCTGGCCAACGATATCGACCTTGAATAAAACGGAGATGACGGAAGAATCTTGGAACTACTTGGAAGAGAAATGGGAGTTTATAGATCAAACGGTGAGTCTGATACCGTTTAACCCTCTCTAAAATGGCCTTGACTTTCTCCCATTGCATAAGTCTAAGAAGGTTACGTGTAAAGAAGAGTGTCTAATTAGTTACCAGAGTGTTTATTAATTATTACAAGGTGACTCGTTAATTCGCTAATTGGATGTTACATCTATAAGAAAAGTTATTCTAGTTTACGATGTGATCTATAAAATATAAAACATGTCTTTTTTTCCAAGGGATTTACTGCAATTATAGAACGTACATATACAATAAGATTTAGATGATTAAGTTTGTTAGGGTCAATTTTTTGATTTTGATCTCCTGTCTTGTGTGGTTCGAACCAGTTCGTTCTAAATTGGTTCGACTCGTAAAATATGGCACAGTTCTGACTTTCTCCGATTGCAGACATGGAAAAATGATTACTCACAGATATAGGAGATTTTTGTCTTACATGCTTTTGATGCTGAGTAACAGCTGATCGAAATTAGTGACACATTCTAGCGAAAGAGAGGGAAAAATAATCATAGAAAAAGAGAGAGACGGTCGGGTGGTGATAGAGAAGGAGGGAGGGTTGCAATCTTAAGGTCGATAAATTACGAAACGATATTATTTGCGTTGTTACGGTTCATTGATATGCGTCAAAATACATAATGTTTTTTTTTATTCGTTATCTCTCATTTATTGACGCGCGATATAATATGTGACGAAAAAGGTAACTGACAACAAAGGGAAACAGAGAGAGAGGGAAGTTAAAGAGAAAAGAAGATAACATTAACGAATGGATGTTTAAAAATCACAAATTAATAATGCTCCGATACAACGCATTAAGATTTATTACGAAATTGTTGATTTGCAATTAAGTCATTGATATTTAATATTAATAATATTCGCGCGTTATATTTTCTTTTTTCAACGATAATCCGATATTTAATTGTCCGTAGGCAATTTAATTCTTTGAAATAGTCATAATTGTTAAAAAAAAAAAAAAGAATCGATAACGTTAAGCACGTGTGGTGATTTTTTTTAATACCAACAGAAGTATAAATATATTTACAATGAGTATCTTAAAAGTTTTTTTTTATTGCTATATAATTGCCGATCGTAAAATCATCCAACGATGGAGATTATAAATATAGCTAGGATTGTTATTCAAGTATAACGAGAAAAAGAAGAAAAATAATTCGCGCTATTGATTAACTTAAATGATACTTTACTAGACGAAAGAATGAGTACATCTATTTATTGACGTAGTATGTATATAATAATATGCGCGTAACTCAAATTATAAAAATAGAGCGCGCGCGTGTTTTGTTTAAACGATAGTGTACTCTAACGAGGATTTCCCGAATTAATTTCAAATACATTATTTAAAGTGTTACGAAGAAGATTACAGAGGTAATTATAGTTTTATTGTTATATTTTGGTTGTCGTTGTTGTCGTCGTCGTCGTCATCGTCGTTTAGTTGTCGTTATAATTATATTTATCATTGTATTTAATTTATTCGTAGATTTAGATAAAGCCACTTTTTAATTATACAATTTCCTTCGATATTGAAGAGCATCGTAAATAAACGAGATAACGATTAATTAACTGGGCAATAATTCGTAAATAAATGTAAGAACGACGCATCAATTTTTTCATTTTATTATTTGCCATAATTTTTTAAAGCGTAATATTGTAGAAGAATGTTTTTTTCTTTGTCCTTTTTTTTCTTTTTCGTTTTTTCTTTCAAGATAACACTCTTCCACTTATTTTATTTTCTATTTTTTCTTGCGAGTTAAGAATATATCGTTTTATAACGACTACAAAGGTACGTGTAAATAATTGCTAATATTTCAAAGAATTATTGTTAGAATTAACAAACGTGTAAAAATCATAATCATTAATTCTCATATCGTACGACCGTACGTAAAAAATGATTTTTCATTGGTGAACTTATTTCTTTTTTCGTTAGGCGGAAAAACTTAACAATATGGTTAAATGGGATTCGAAAACTTAACGATTGATTCGCGGATTAGATAAGATATACGGTGCCTTTCAAGTTATATTCTATTTTAAGATATAATATTCTTTGACACGTCGAAATCGCACATCGTATGTGTTATATAGAAACATATGTATACAAACAAACAACGTACACTCATACACACGTGTTACCCCACGTAAATATATACCTACATTTGTAAAAAAGAGATTTAAAAAAAGCGATTATGCGACAGGAAACGTCATCTTATATGTTAGTGACGTGGACAAATTTTTATTTTATTTTTAAGAAGAAATATAACTTAAAAGGAAAGATAAGAAATGTTCACAGGTGATCAAGATCTAATAAAAGAAAGCTCAATTTTTTATATTCTTTACAAATTCAATACGTTTGAGTACGTCAGCATTGTGTTGTCTAAATATTATCAATTAAAAATTATTATTTACTCTTCTAGGAAATAATTCAATATATAATCCTATTTTAACAAAACATATTTTTAAGAAAAAGATACGCGGGATGTCTTTCGTAATATTTTGATATTTTCTATTGCCATTTAATCATTCGTTGATCCCCTTTGTTCATAGTTGTTATATCCGATCGGTTGATAGGTGTTATTAGATCAGTTTATTATTTGACTTCGTGCAGTTAGTTTCATTCGCAAGAAAGAAATATACATGAAATATTATTATTATGAAGACCAAGAAGACAATGTCGTTCTTAAGTAGAATTTGTAAGTGCCGTGACAATAAACAGATGACTATGGAAATCGAAGATCTCATTTTAACGACATCGTTAAAGGAATCAGTTGAGGTAACGATTAAAATAATTTTTATTTTTTTTTTTTTTTAATATAACGATTATGTACAAAACGATCAATAATATATTTCAAATAAATTTAATTCATAATTTATTTGATTTAAAATAATAAATTTCTTTTGTTTAATATTTAAATTTATAATACAACTAAATGATAACAATTTTGAGAATGTTATATAGAAATTAGATAAACAAAAATAAATACAAATTAAATATAATAAATAACTCGAAATAAAATTACGATCGTTCATTTCGATTCTCGACGAACTTCATTAAAAATTCAATGAACCTGTTATGGTTTTGAGTTTGACGTTTTAATAATCATCGATTTCTTTTAGTTCTCGTATTATGGAATATACACCGGGAGAAAACTGGGTAATTACATTAAAATATTTTTATTGATCGATCGTAATTGGAATATTATATATCAGATATTTCTTAAAGTTTTATTTTCCTTTTTTATTTATTTATTTTTAAATATATCTTACACGCATAATATTTTTCACTTTATGTCTTTTTACCGAATTATTTTGCAGAAAAAAAGATAATAAATAATAACAAAATGAATCGTTTATAATTCAGTAAAATAATATAAAATAAAAGAAAAATTTTGTTCGCGTACTATTTACAATATTAACATTAGATATACTACCATTTTCAGTATACCTATTTCTACCACACTAGTCAAAATGACTGGTGTATAAAAAAAATGCTTTTTGAGGCTTCCAGTCTTTATTTACTCTTAATAAATAACAAAAAATGTTTAACAATAATAATTTTAATAGATGAATGGATTTATAGATATTTTTAAATAACAAAACGCTTAATTATTTACAGAACTCAAATGTTACATAAAGTAGAAATTTTGAATTAAAATGGTCCCTGATATATCTACTGTTAATTTTAAGTATAAGTACAAGAACGGTATTGTGTTAAACGATTTAAAATAAAATGATATAAAAAAAAAATATTATTAATTTAAACGCGATACATTAGATTATAAATAAATAATATCGTAAGTTTTTTATGATAATTGATTAAATTAATTGAATATAATTTATCAACAATAAATTCATCTCTTGCTATTTCAGCCTCTTAAAATAATCATTCGAAGACCATGTTGCAAAGATAGCGAAGAAATGTGTGTACCTCCGCTCCCCGAAAAGGCAATGAACGCTATTTTCATTTTCAAATGAGTTTATTTCAAAGTATACAAGAGTGTTGATAGCAGGTAGACAAACAAATAGGCAAAGTTGTTTGGTAATTAGAAACCGAATATTTTTTTCGTTCATTTTAACGAACCTTTCCTTTCTTTTCCTCTCTTTCATCTTTTTTCTAACTAATGACAAATATTTAATGAAATGACTAATACTTTAATGGAAATTTTTTTTCCTCCTAACAATAAAAATTCGATCAGACTCATATGATTCGAATTGTTTCGAAAAAAAAAGTACGATAAAAAAATGTCAACCGTGATTTCGATATTGAAGTACTTTTAGATCTGTATGTGAATAACTATTGATTAAATTTAATCGAAACAATTTGCACATTCTATCGATGATATCTTACTCGGAAAAAAAAATTAAAGTAAATTTTTCCTCAAATATGTGAAAAGAACAATTGTACTTCCTTTTCAAATTATTCTTAATTTCACTTATTGACTTACTTACGAATTAAAATGTTATTATTTTTTTTACTAATTAAATAACGATTATTACTAATCGACAAAATAAAAAATTAATTAATAAGTATTACAAATTGAACATAAGTTTCAAATTATACTGTAAAACAAATTGATATTATTAATAACTTCAACGAAATTGATCGCTCCGATTGGTCAGTTCAAATTAACGTACTTCCTAAGACAATTTTCTATTGGTCGAATTACAAGTGACGCCATTCGATCTTACGTGAGCTAGGTGTTTCGTTGTATCGAGAATTCTGATGGACGTTTTATATACAGCGTTATTGTTGGTGATAGCACAAAGTTGTTTTATATTTCATCTAGGAAGAAAAAAGTTCGTTTTTTTCTCTTTTTACATTTGTTTCTGATTATTTGTTGTTACTCTTGTTGTTGTTGTTTTTTTTTTTCATTTAACGTGAAAGAATATACTTCGAATAGACACCGATCATTCCTATTTGACAATTGCCAATTGAATGAAGAAAAATGCGAGGCTTTACGACAGAAGATCTCGTGAGTAAAATGCGTATGCATTTGTTAACATTTACAATGACGTATCATATTTAGTCGTATCATTGAGGGTATCTATTATACTTTCGTTGATGTTTCTTTAACGTCATGAACTCTTAACGATTTTATGATATTATTTGATTATTATTTTACAAATAGGTATCTATTTTGGTTTGGAATTATCTTCAAATATCGTAGTTTTTCATAAACTTATGCTTTGTAATTTGAATTAATGAATGAACAAATACAAAATTGCATCTAATTAGAAAGTATTTGAATGGGAAATTAATGGATTTTATTTCAAATGAATTTTACATGATCCTATGACGTATATGAAACGATGTGTCAATGATATTAACATTCAATTCTATAAACTTATATCGTTTTTAGAAATAAAATGAAAGGGAGTTAGTATATGATTTGTGTAAACTATACAAAAAAAGTATCGTGTAAATATATGCTAAGGCAACTATGTTAAAAGGAAGAGATAGATTGGACGTTATGTAATTTTTCATTATAAAACAACGCGTACGTTAAATAAGTATGTATGACTGTATATAGTAACATATATACATATATATATATATATGCATATACGTTTACCAGATACATAAAACGTAATTGAACCGATGCAAATAAGCTTTAAACGTGTCGATTGATTTATTATAACATTAATAATTTTTGTCTTCTAATAATTTACAATTAGACAAAATATTTACATACATGTATTTATGAAGCAACACCGTATTCCTGATTTTGTAATCTTTTAGAGTTCAATCATCACGTAATTACCATAAAATTCAATGAATAATCAAAATGATCAGATAAAGAGTGTCGAACAATGTCGAACAGTTCTTTTGTTTCCATATATATATATAATAAATACATTTATTCAATAAAAAAAAAGATCAATCGAATGAATTAAAGAGGAATCGAACGTCACAATGATATCGAAATATTTCAGGTCATTTTTTTTTCTTGGTTTAACCAAAAAATACTATATAATTTAATAGAAAAAAAATTATTAGAAAAATAAAAATTATAATAAGTATTTTTTATTTTTTTTTATATTTAATTTATTAATAATGAATAAGAGTATTTGATAAAATAGTTCGATCGATCGATCTAAAATAGAAGTTAATCGTTAATGATAAACCAATCGATCAGAATCAGATTCATTCTAACGTTTTATAAAGAAAAATTTACGTTAATCGAGATTCGTTCTTTACTGTTGAACGTTTTTACGTCATATAATAACCAGAGATCCTTATACATATTATACCCATGTAAATACATATATTTACTCTCATACGTATAATACTCGGGTAGTTGTTTACTCGTGTTCACACTCGTGCAAGGAACACACGTGATGCAACGCGAACGAATTGCTACGTCAGAACACGAGGAAAGTATTTAACTAATGATTACAATTTTTACTCTAAACCGATTTCGAGATTTCATATTTTTAGTGTATATCGATCACACAATAAAACGAACAAACAAATTTATTTGCCGATTTAGTTTTGGTCAATAAAGTTTTATTGAAATGTAATATTAGTAATACAGGTTGATGTTTATAAAAAGTCTGGGCGCACAGACAAAAATATATATACATGTTATCAAGTTATAAAATTGATTAACAACGTTTTATTCAATTGAAATAATAAATAACGTTTTTTAATATGATTTATATTATTTTGCGATGAAAAGGTTGGATGCGTTATTTATGTTGACTCTAATTATTTATTTAGATATTAAAGACACCCTGTATAACATTAGATCGTTCCACAAATTTTCTTTTTTTCTTATTGTTAGTAATATTACATTCACGATGTTTTATATTATTTGAATAATTTTTTGTTGTTTTTCTCGGTTGCAACCAATTAATTCATCGCATTCGTCCTTGTCAACACAACAAACAGCTTCGTGTTCTTTCGTTGAAAAAAAAAGAGCCTAACTCTTTGATGCGTTGTTTAAACGTACTTATTTGCATTACACTAGCGAGAAAATGCAAAAAGCACATGCTTAATGGTATTAGCATATCAACTAGGAGAAATAAGAGGAACAAAAAAAAAATAACATGAGGAAAACATAATTGAAAGATTGTATTGCAGGAGTATTTTATTTCCTTTTTTCTTATGGAAACGAGAAATTCACGTGTCAATTACAATTCGACTTTTCGTATTTTTCAACATTTTATATATATATATATATATATAAATTTCTTCTTCTTAAGATTTCGTCTTGTTATTCCTAACTAAACAGCCAAAAGAGGCTGTTTTGTTAGTTCTGAGAGCGATTATTTTTCTTTATCGAGGGTAGGTTGCTAGCATCGTCCTTGAAACTTCCTTCTTTATCTAGACTTGGGACTAGCTAGCTAGGTATTATCTAGGTATTCACATATAAACTAGCCGGATATATATATATATATATATATATTACTCATGATAAAAATGATGAATTTTGTTGTATTATTAATTTTAAATATTTAATTAATTAAGTTAAATTTAACTCGTGTTACGAAGAATTTTGTTTACAATCCAGTCATATTTTTGTGCTTTTTCTTTTCAAAATATTAAATACGAGAAATTCCTCTTTCCTACAGTGTTATTAACATACACATAACATGATTATGCTTCCTCTCTGGAGTATGACTAGTTTCATCCGAAAACGTGCGGCACATGTGGTTTTCTAACTCTCCCTTTTCTTCTCATGAATTAGGTAGATTCGTGAGAGATGGCACGTAGATGCATGATGCTTTTTATATTGCTTTCTATATTTCAAAAAATAATGTATGCTTACGTAGAAACTTGTTAACCCACTATTATATTACGTAACTTTTAAGTTAAATGTATATATATATATATATATATATATATATATATATATTTTTTTTTTTTTTTTATTAGTAAATATAGTCAAGAAAAATGTGAAATAATGTAACATAATATTTTATACTATAACTAAATGTAATTATAATAATTATTACAAGCAATAATTATGTCGAGTCATAAATAACTTTCGTTTTTTTTTTGAGACAAAGAATGGCATGTCTTCGACTGATAAGCTTCAGGACACTTTTCATGGAATTTTTTTTTTGAACTCTGCCTCTGTTAGACGTATCTATTGGATTTTGCTCCCATATTATCTTTACAAGGTTCTTCAAAGTCGGAAAGACGTCCTGCACTTTAAGATCATATCTCGAGAACGGAATTTTAGAAACCAATTTCTGACTGTCCTATCAGTTATCAGTCCTGCACCGTAAACTGCATATTTTTTCAGCTGCCAACTTACTGCTATTGCCTTGTTAAATTAATGTATATCGAATCAGCTATTGCAATGTATTTTTTTATTTTTATTTGAGAGAGAGATTCTAACTTATCGTATACTTGCATAAAAGTAATATGTATATAACGTTTTTTTTTTTTTATATGATTTCTTTGATAATCTTTTCCGGCCACTTTTGTCATTTCTTTGTTTTTTTTTTTCATGATAAATATAAATGTTTCGTAACATATATCAATAAAGCGAACGTGGAACAAATGATTGAAAATTTTCTAACAAATTATTTCCAAGTTTTAACTGTACAGATAAGGACAAAAAAAAATGATAAACTATTTTGACTAGATAATGTGTTTTATTTTTTTTTATCTTCAGACACTTTGTAAAATACTTCTTCGATGAGACAACATCGAATTTTTATCGTCTGAGACTAGACAAGAATTTTATGATAGCATAGATGTAAATGTTAATGTTCAAATACAAAAGGTAAAAGCTTTTAAAAATTATGTAATTTCAAATTTCAACGAGAAACTCGTATAATTAAGTATCATATAAATAAGTAACTGTGTTTGTGGTTTTATCGTTAAACATATACTGCGGTTTTAAATATTTCAATTATTATCATCTTTAAATAGATTCAATCATTATTTTTCTACGATGAACAAGGAAAAAAAAATTCTATAAAAGTATAAAAACTTATGAATGTTTCTTTTACCGTTTCTGTTTTACGGTTAAAATAAGATTAAATTAAATAACGTTAAAAGATACAAATTTTAGCTATTATTAAAATAATTATTTTCAAAATTGGTTTTCTATTCTTATTATATTTTTTTTTCTTTCATAAACATACGAGTT